TAACGGTTCAATATCCTATAAACCGTGGTTCGATCAATCTTAAAGTCACGTACGATCTAGGCGGGTTTTTAGCCCTTTTCTACAGCGTAAATGATAGCGGCGCGCGTAGATTCGGATAATTCACCTCCGCGCGGTCGATTTCCACTAATTTGCGTACCGAAAGCTCTCATTTTCGTGGTGTTATGGTGAATGTTATGTTTGGATGAAAAGTGGTTGGGGTTAAATTTTAAAAGTGTAGACAAACTTTTGCTACCCCATGTATACGCTTTATAGGTAGTATCGAAGTCTTTAGCTAAATTAATAACCCCCTTACCTATCTCCTAGAAATATATCGTATCCTATATATAATATCTATTTATAGGTAACTAGTATTAGGCTACCTACTCTAGAATCGCGATTAATTCGACGCGATCTCCCTATATTCCCTCTAATAAAGATTTATATATCGACTTTTGTTAATTATATTACTAGTATTTTTTAGAGTTAGCTTTATATAAAAAATACTAAATAGAAAACGGAACTACGCTTATTCTAAGGGTAAAATAAATAATTATTAAGCGAAGATAGCTTATATACTATATATTTTTTAAATAGATTCGATTTCTACGAATAATAGGTATAGTAGAATCGATACTAAATATCGAGGATAGTTAGGAAATTAGGGTTCTTTACTATAAATATATCTATAGCTATATAGCCCTAATACTATAAAGATAGGGTAAAATTAGATAAAGATTTAGAACTATTCTAATTATAGCTCCTTTATTATAGAGTACTACCGATATCTCCCCGAGGCTTTATAGCTATAATCTATTTCGGATATAGATATCCTTATAGGAGAAGGGGGAATAATTATAAAGGATAAAGATCCTTTTAAAGGTAAAATAGGAACTTAGGCGATATATATATTTATAGAAGTTTCTAATACGTATATAAATCGTACGGGGTTCGTTACCTAATCGGTACCGAGCCTTAGCACGTATATTTCCTTTTAATCTTAGGTCCCCCTAGGACCCCCTAAATTCTAGTAAGAATTAGTCTTGGCATATACCGCCTAATATACCTTTGTTTCCTCCTCCTAAAGCCAACGTATCTTACCCGGTTGATAGGCCTTATACCTGAAATAGTATATTCTTATATAGGAATACCTAGATAAGTACGCTATAATCTTTATAGATAATATCTTAATTTATAGTAAGACTCTCGAAGAGTATTAATAATAAGTAAGAGAGGTACTTTAACGTCTATAGAAAGTAGGTCTCTAGATAGTATTACCGAAGTATAAATTCTTAGTATAAAAGATAAAATTCCTTAGTTTTATTATAAGTATAGATAGTATTATAGTTAACCTAGGAAAGATTAGTATTATTTAATTATAATAAGTACTAATAACTATAAAAAGGGTTTAGTCGTTCTTAGGATTTTATAATTTTTACTAACGATTTATTTAAAAATATAGTACTATTTTAAAATCTTTATATTGACTTATTTAATAAAATGTTTTTTATAAATAGATAGAATAATATAAAGTAGCTTTCGCGTTACTAAAGAAAAAATTAATAACTATACTAATCCTTTATTATTATAATCTAGCTCGACGAATAAAGATTAAAACTAATACTTCCGATAGAATACTTAGAGTAGTTCTTTCCTAATATTATAAAAATAATAACTTTTAATATTTAGTAGCTTTTTTCTCGAAGAATATATAGCCTATAAAGTTAAATTATAAAATATAAGATAAAAAACTATTAGTAATTATTTATATATTATAAGAATAGCGATCTAAATTTAAAGATTTAATATAAAAAGATCGCTTTAAGATCTTAATAGATTATTAGTCCTTTAAATATTTTATAATAATAAGATAGATAAATTAATAATAAATAAGATAGAGTAAGTTCTTATTTTAGTTCTATTTTATAATTAAATATTATCCTAGAAAGAAGAATATTATAGTTAATATCTTATTATAAAAAGACTTATCTTATATTAATAATAGTAGATAGATAATACTTCTACTAAGAAGTTATTTAAAAAAAGATATTTATCTAGTTAATTTAAACTTAATTAATATAAAGTCTATAATAAATATTACTAAGTAGATTAAGTAAATTAACTAAAAAAATAATAAGTTAAAGGATTTCCGATAAATTATTAAAGAAGATAATAATTAAAAGTAGATAATTAAAGAAAATTTACTCTTATTTAAAGGACGATTTAAGATCCTAGATAAAAGAGATTTATATATAAAACTTCTTAATAATATATATTAATAATTATTAATTATATATCCTAAAATTAAGAAACTAAAAAAGCTTATCTTATTAAGATATTATTAATTAGAATAGGCTAATAATATAAAATAATATATAGAAAACTACTTAGTTTATAAATAAATAAAGACTTAGCGAGATTATATATCTAGATTATTATATCCTTTACTTATTCCTAAAAGATTTTAGTAATATATTTTAATAGATTTCTACTTATTTCTAAAGAATTATTATAATTATAACGCTATTTTTATAGTTATTAATTAATTAAGTAAAAGACTAATTTCTATCCTTTATTATAAAAATACTAATACTAAATAGATAGCTCGACTATTTATTAATAATATAATTCGAATTATAGGTATTCCGGAAATTATTATATTAGACTAAAAAGAATAGTTTATTTTAGAATTCTAGACTAAATTCTATTAGATACTTAAAATTAAGAGGAAGTTATTAACTATCTATTATCTTTAAACTAATAAATAAAATAAAATTATAAATTAATATATAGTCTAAAGATTATAACTATATATTAAGTAGAATTAAGATAATTAGTTAAAGATTTTATTAATAATAGATTTTATAATATTAATTTTTTTATAAGATATTATAAAGTAGTTACTATTCTTTATCGAAAGAGATTACGAACTAGCTATATCTTTCGACTAGAAGGATTAGAGTAATCTAATAAGTAATAAATAAGATATAATTAATATATTATTATAACTCTAAGATATCTAGATAAAGATAAAAGACTAGATTATAAAGTCTTAGTAATAAATAATTTAGTAAGTAAATAAATATTAGAAAAAGGAGGATTTTAATATCGATAATTAGGTTTTTATTATAATAAAGGATTAGTAGCTTAACTACCTAAATCGGAAGCTTTCTTATCTTATTAATAGATCTTATAAAATTATCGAAAAGATTAGAAACGCTTATAAGCTCGATCTTTTAGAATCTATTAGAGTTTATTTAGTATTTAATCTTAGTAAGTTTTAAAAAGCTTTATTATTAGAACTATTATATAGATAGTATCTAGATCCGCTACTACTAGTTAGAATCTCTAAGAAAGATAAATAAGAGGTAGATAAGATTATCGATTTACGTCTTTACTACTAGAAGTTATAATATCGAGTTTAATAGCTCGGCTATAATCTCGATCTATAGTAATATCTTATAGGGAATTTTAAGTATATACTAAAAAAAGTTTAGGACTTCTATAATAATTATCTTTTAAAGCCCGGACCCCCGATACGCCTATAAGCCTAGATAGATATAGCTAAAGACAAAGTCTTCCTTAAAGATTATATTAATAACGATAGGCCTATATTTAGGGACTAAATATAGTTTTAGTCGGGGGTTATATTATAGGTAATATTAGAGACTTAGTTAGATAGGCGGTCTATAGCCCTAGTTTCTAACCTCGGTCGGATAGGCGGTCTATACTTCTACCGGAGGTCAGAAGGGCGGCCTAGGGATCTACCGGAGGTCAGAGTTTTCTACTAGAGGTTTCCGCCTATAGGATAGGAGCGAGACCCACAAAGATCTTGCCAGTGGGATTCTTTCTCTTTCTCTTCCTTTTATTCTCTGTACTTAGTATTCTCGTTAAATGCACTCTTTTTGTTTAAAGAACTAGCTGGTGACATTAGCCGAGGTTATCCGGTTTCTATCGTAGGTGATAATAGACGTCTAGGTTTATATACCTAGAATATAATATAGGCAGTTAAGCTAAGCAGCTCCTCCGCTAAAATATCGTGAGACTTGCCCTCCTTTAAGGTAAGCTGACTAACGAGGTCCTAATTCTGTATCTCTAGAAGGACCGTTATATACCTAGTTTACTATAGACTAGTAGAAAATACCGATAGTACCGGTATTGTGAAGACCCACTATGAAGGGTCTTATGAAGGGTATGACCAGAGTGCCAAGGGCATATACAATACGAATTACTACTACGAAGCAATTGTAACTAGCACTACGTATGTATTCAAACTAAACTATGAACCTTTGTCCATAGTTCCAAATCCACTAGTTATATAATATACGTAGCCTAAGCGAGATCATATGCATTGGACCTATATATCTCGTAGGCTATTGATATATCTACGTAGGTCCCGAAGACCCCCGAAGGTCTACCTTAAAGGTACTATCTCGGGTCTAGGCGGGTTCTATACCTTACTTTGTATAGTATAGGACGTGATATTACCTCCTTCCTTTATACTCGTCGATCTTAGCGTACTTCTAGGTTCCCTCTATAAACCTATCTTCTTTATCTAGCGGGGTTCTTTTTTATTAAATAGGGTATTCTAAGGCTTCCTAGCCGGGTTTCTATAGCGGTAGCGAGGTTTTTTATCTTTTATTTAGCGTACTAAGTATAAGATTTTTCGTCGACTATAAGATTCTTTATAACTATAGATTTATTTAAACACTATTTTTACCCCCTTTTTTTAAAGGAGTATATCCTTATACTCGTCTTTTACGATATAGCTTTAAATAATAGGATTATAAACCAGGTTTTTAACCCTATACTTATAACTCCCGCGGAGATATAGTATATACGCTATATTAATTTAATTATAAAGGTTCTTATAGATTATATTAATTCTCTAGCTAGTAATAAATATACTTAGTCATATCGCACCGCGATGAATAAAAATAGTACGCGCCATGACGCGTGCTCCGAAACGAACTCCAAGACTTGCCCGTGTCATAGGACCATAAATGTACACCGGAAGCCTTGTCCCACGCATTTTGAGAACGTCTATCCAGTTTTTCCCCAAGCTCTGGATTTCCGTATCACGATCCTTAATCCCTTACAAAACATTCCCCTTGGCAACTTTTAAACGACCCATCTCCATCGCGGTTATGAGCACTTCGTCTCCTCCCACTCCGCCATCAAGGGCCTTAATAGATGATGAACGGAGATTCAAAACCATTACATTACCTTGTGAGTGGGTGGAGGATTATCGGCCAGGTGGTTATCATCCAGTCGTTCTCGGCGACGTCTTCAACCACCAGTACAAGGTCATCCGGAAGCTTGGCGAGGGCTCCTACTCAACGGTTTGGCTCGCCCATGACCTAAGGTATGTCCATCTTTCGCATTTCCACTGCCGACGCTATATATCATCGTTACTCATTTCGTTTAGTAACAGTCGATATGTCGCCCTGAAGATACTTGTGTCGGAAATCTCGGAATCGACAACTGAGCTACGAATATTACGCCATATCATCGAATACGCACCAGAAGAAGGGTCCCGATATATCACGCGACTGCTGGACGCATTCGAACACCGCGGACCCAATGGCCTCCACAAGTGCCTGGTACTTGAGCCTATGGGCCCGAGTGTCAATACGATGGTCGAGGAGCTGCCGCAGTTCAAACCTCGTAGGCGAGGAATGAAGATCCGCTATCCGCTTCAGATGGCAAAGAGTATCCTTAAGCAATCCTTACAGGCTCTTGCATTTCTGCATGAAAATGGTATTGCCCATGGAGACTTCCAGCCGGGAAACATACTCTTCCCTCTTATCGATGTCGACTCGACCCCTGAGGAATTGCTCCTACAAGAGGAAGATGTTCAAGCCCGGTCGATCTCGCCTCCGGTACAGAGGCTGGATGGTAAACAAGATAAATGGGCGCCTCAATATCTTTGCGTTGCGCAGCCACTGGTGCCCTTTACTTGCTACGCCGAAGGGTTCAAGGTCAAATTATCCGATATGGGCGGTGGTCAGTCCCTCTATTCCTTTTTCTTGACGAATATTAATACTCACACCTCAATTCCCTGGACAGCTTATTTCTTTACCGACCCACCAACAAAGCCCGTTACTCCACTCGGTCTTCGAGCTCCCGAGTTGATTCTTACCGGAGCCGTCAACAATACCGTTGATATCTGGAGCTTCGGTTGCCTTATTTTTGAGTTAATTACCGGACAGCCACTCTTCTGTATACCATGTTCCGAGATGGAAGATGACGATCATCTTCTCTCCCTCACCGCCCAGCTCGGTGCCCTCCCCGACGAGTTATTCAGGCATTGGACAACCTCGTCGCTCTACTTTACGCCCGAGAGGAAGCTCTTTAATTGTCAGCTTGGAGGAGTCGCTCCCGGGGAGGAACCGCTTATAGTGGAGCAGACGTCCATGGAAGAGTGCTTCGATCGGGCAGGCCCGGATCTCGATGAGGAGGAAGCTAACAAAGTGAAAGCGCTTATTCGATGGATTTTGCAATATGACCCCGGGAAGAGACCTTCGCCTACGAGAATCTTATCGGATCCATGGTTTTGCGAGATTGACGTTGAGGACGACCCATCTAAGGTATCTATAGTCTAGTATCTTGCGTGGCTATGAGGAAGATATCTAAGTAGGCTGCATATCGTTTCGACGAGAGGACAGCGTAATGAATCACACACAGACAAACATACCGTATGACCCAAACATGTTCATATAGAGTACTATTGCTGATAATTCACAGATGCTATTATAATCCCCATTACACTCCTTTTGTCAGATAGAATGCAGGCTATGTAGGAATGAATGTTAACCTCAAAGGATTAGAATTGTAGACTCTGGAGAGAAAGAAAAGAAGAGAAGAAAAAACTAGCTACTGTCTAACAATATCCTGAGTTCTGTGGGTCAGGATCACCTACGGCCCTATATAGCCGTCACGTGACTCTAATACCCCCCTTTAGGACGAAGACTGTTACTATATCTCTTTGTCTCTACTAATAAAAACTCTCTATTTTGTTTTCTTATTTTCTACTATTTCCTATATAATATAAATCTATATCTACCCGTAAAATTTAGTATATAGATTAATTAAGACCTAATATGTAGATAAACTTTATATATACTTCTTTATTAAGCGCTTTTGTAAACCCGTTAGCGACGTTGCTCTTCGTCTTAACGCGCCGTAAATCGATCTTCTTCTAGAAAATAGCGTCTTTAACGAAAAACTACTTTATATTAAGCTAACGTATACTATTCTTATACGATTTCTTACTTATTAGTAACTAAGTATTAATATTATCTATTAAAATAATAATTAGATTATTTATTTTAGGAAGATTAAGTGCCTTAGTAATCTTTAAAATCTACTAAGTATCCCTAATAGATCGATCTAGAGTATACTATTCCGTAGCTATCGATAATAGAGTTATAATACTCTATTTCTTCGAGTACTAAATAATAGGTACGCTACTAAAAAACTAAATAGTACCCTCTATCGATTTTAAATTATACTAATTATTATACGAAGTATTAGTATATATAAAGAACGAGATATCGTCTACCCCCTTTAACGTTATACTAAGATATATTATATTACTAAGATACTTATAGATAGTACGGACTACCTATAAATCGTTAGTAGTCGGAGAAGTAGAACGATATTATAATTTTATAATACTAAATTTAATATTAAGCTTAGTTTTAACTACTAGCTAATTAAGTCTACCGACTAAAAATCTAAATAAAGTATATCCCTCTTAATCTAGAAAAGCGTCGGGATCCTTATTACTATTATCCTATTTATAGTTTAGAGAAAGTAGAATCGAAATTAGAGAATATATCTATATCTCTACTAAGCGAAGTACTTCTAGATAGTATACCTATTATATTATCCGAATTATTCTCTTATTATAATTCCGGATAATAGTACTACTAAAAAAACGGGATAGTTCTTTTATATCCTTAATCTCGAACTAACCCTTTACCTACTAAAAAATTATCTTAACCTCTCCGTCGGTCAGAGCTATACTAATAAAATTATTAATATAAATAAGAAGAAACTATATTAAACTATTATATATCTTAATATAGATATACGGATTATTATTAAGAGTATAAAACCTAATCTTAACTAGTCTTCTATTAAGTTCCTTATTCTATAAAGCTACCGAATTACGAAGGCTAAATAATACCTACTATAATTAATAAACCTAATCTTTACTTCCGATATTAGGTTCGGAGTATTTAAAACCTATTAGTTAAATAATATAGACTATCTCCTAATCTTTATAAGAAGTATTAAGATATATAGCTACTACGTTAAACTAACGCTATTTATAACCTCTCTATATAATAAATATAAAGATAATCTTTATAAGAACGTTCTAAATAACCGGAGTATAGAAGATTAAATCCTCCTTCTTCTACTAATAGTTACTATAAACTACCTAACGCGCTTTAAAACTATAAATAAGGTTGTCCTTAGTTACTTTAAGATTAAAAATCTATTAACTTAGTAGAGGTACTACCCCTAGCGGCTTATAAACGATATTAAAAGTTCTTTTCGTATAAATATCGTTAAACTAATCTTCTATCGCTACTTACTAGTAGTCTAAAAATCGAGAATTTATCGTCTTATTATAAGACTAAGAAATAATAACGTTCTTAATATATAAAGGCTTACTATTATAAATAAAAGGAGTACTCTATTTCGTAATAACTCTCGATTTTATAAGTCTCCCCCTACCTTAATTACTATTATTATCTAATCCTTTATTAGTACTATTATTACCTTATAGAACGTCCGGTTTTATAACAATTCGCCTCGGTTAACTTAATAATCTTAGTTTCGGTTTTGCTCTCGGAATTAATATAGTCTCGGTAAGTTCCGTAGGAAAACTATATTATTTAGGCGATCGTCTCGTCCGGCTCGATTATCGGGGAATAAAGTATTCTAGTAGAATAGAAGCTATCTTAGTAATAAAACTATCGGTAATTATTTTAATTAAGATCTCCTAAAGTAATTCGACCTCGGAAACCGTCTCTATATATAGTTTAAAAATAAGTTTAGAAACCTAATAAGAACTAGGCTAAACTACTATCTACTCTTCCTCTAAAATAATAAGATTATAAATCTTCTATATAGAAACCTCCTATAGAGAAACCTTCTACGGAAAAATCTCTTATAAAGAAATCTCCTACAGAGAAACCTTTTATAAAGTATCTTCTTAGAATACTCTAAGTAAATACTAAAGAGAAGTAGGAATAGCTTATTATATAGGAACTTCTATATTATAAGTAGCTCGCTATATATACTATCCTTAATAAATAAAACTATTATATTTACTATCTTTACTATCTTTACTATTATCCTCTTTAATCGATTAGTAAATAACTAAAGACTCTAGAATAGCCTCTAAAACCGGAGATACTACTACCTATTTTTTAGGCTATAGTAGGACTAATAGAAGTAATAGTCTATTGTCTATATAATTAATTATATAATATCAAATTATCTTATAAACCTATAATTAAAGAACTAGACGTTAATATATTAACTAAGGAACTAATTAATAAATTAGCTATTAAATAATCTACCTCTTTAGCGGTAGAAGATAAGCTAGTTTAACTTACTTCCGGAAATTCGGTTATTAAAGTAGAGATTAATCTTCGATCTCCTATATTCTAATTAACAGCTTTAGTATAGGTAGTATAGTCTATACTCTTCCTAGTATATCTAGACCTACGGAAGCTTACTTCTATTAAATTATAGGTCTTAAAACCTAAATTACTACCTCTAGCTATCTACTAGTAATAGAAACCTATAGAACTAGCTTTAGTCTAATTATAACCTCCGGACCTTTATAAGGTTGTTTACCTTTTTTAATTATAAAATCTAGAATATACGGACTATCTTCTTTATAAAGTACCCTAGTATTATTATTTAAATTAGGATCCTTAGGTACCGGCTTTCTAGCTAAAATACTTTTTTTTAGATTATTATCCGATCGAGAAGAGTTAAGATTAAGTTTATCGGGAAAAATAACGTTCTATAAATAAATAATCTCCTTCGAAGTAGGATTCTATATCTTAAAGATATAACTATTCTTACCTTTATAACTAATTAGGTATCCTTTAAATATACGAGTAGCTAATTTCTTTAATTAAATATATATCTCCCTTAGAATATAGATAAATACGATAGTACCCTATATATAAAGATATTTTAAATTAACCCTCGTCTTACTAAGACTAAGGCCCTCCTACTAAGAGATAATCGGTATCTTCGAAGTCTTCGGATTAATTAAATAATTATAAATATAAATTATAGTATCTACTTAGTAAGGCTAAAGCTATTTAAGAAGCTTAGCGTCTATATTTATTATACGTTAAATCTAGTTAATATAACTACCTATACGCTCTATAACGCTATTCGGTTTAAATATATAGATAGGCGTGATTTTAAAAACTATACCTTCTTCCTCCGCCTATATCTAGAACTTATAGAATTTAGTTCCTCTATTAATCCGCTAGAAAGCTAGATATTATTTATAAAGAATCTTCTATCTCTTATAGAAAGTAATTATATAAGATATAATCTCCTTCTTAGTTCGAAAGTACGGTCTTTCGGTATATCGAGTATAATTATCGATAATTAGTACCTAATAACGCTTACTATAAGGTCTAGATAGGTTTATAGTTTATATATCCGTATAAAACTTTATATCTAGCTTCTTTATACGTCGTTATATATCCCGAGAAATCTACTTCTTAGTTTTACTAAATTAATAAGCTTTATAATTAAAGTTATAAAGTTTAATTTAGTCTCCTTCCTCTAGAAGAATAGTATTAGAAAAAGAAGCTTTAATATATAGTCTTCCTATATAACTAAATCGATAATAAATTTTATAAGTCGAAATAGACTTATTAATTCGATTAAACTCTTTATCTAAATCTAAGTCTAAATTAGAAGAATTCGGTTTATAGAAGTAAGTCGTTTAAATAGAAAATTATTATATCTTCTCTAGAATCACTCCTTAATAGAATAGGCTATTAATCTAAAGTAAACTATTAAACCGTTTTACTAATCTAACTTCCTCCCTATTCTTATAAACTAGTTTTAAAATAATTAGATTATAATAGATACCGTAATCCGCTTTAAGAGTATTAGATAAAAGTAGACGATCGGTAGTTACTATATTATAGTAGGTATTAATAAGAATTATCTTAATCTTACCTTCCGAATTCTTAATTTAAATCGGCGCCTTATTATAACTAATTACTAATTAGACCTTATTATTAGTATTTATATAGCTATATAGCTTTTTATTAGGCTTATAAATTAAGTATTCGTAGAAGTCCTTATAATATCTAGTAATTATTTTAGAAGTATTATTATTAATTATCTAATTATCCTCTAAAAAATAAGCTATATTAGTATGAGTAATACTAGCCTTACCTTTCTCTTTATATATAATTATATAGTACTAAGTATTATTATATAGCTTCTATCCCTCTATAGATATATCCTTTATTAAGTAGAAATATATCTTAGTAGGATATCTAGTATATCTATAGTAGGTATATTCTAAACTATTTATATATTATAACTATTAATTATACTACTATTCCGCTTATTTATTAATCGATTTGCCCTTAGGCGGCGTATTCTTTATATCTTAATACTATTCCTTCTAATTATTTTAATTATCTTTATTATTATTATTATTCGATCTAGAGTTATATAAACTATCTTTACGACCTCTACTACTAT